TAAAGAAAGTATTTCTTTTTTTATCACTGTGTGTCATTAAAATAAGGTCAACCTTTGCCCTCTGTTAGCATAAATTACAGTGGACCTCCACATTTGTGAATTTTTCTGAAGAACTCGATTGCGAAACATTTGCCTGTTCACAGTTTTTTTTTTTTTGTAGACCATATGTGAGATATTTAAAAAAAATGAAGCTTGGGAAGCTGAAATACCAAAGTGCAAAGCTACTTGACACGCTATTGGCTGCTAAGCATCCAATCCAGGACTGCCATTCATTTTCCTTTGTGCTGACTGGCTGAATCCCCAGGACCAGAGAACACAGCGAACACCTGGATGAACTGTGTTTCTACTTGAAAATGTCAAAGTAACGAGATAATTCTTTTTATTACATTCACATTCAAAAGTTTACATTTATTAAAATCCACCCATCCATTATCTTACACCCTTATCTCTAGCAGGGTTGTGAGGGCTGCTGGTGTCTATCTCCAGGGGTCAACGGGTGAGAGGCGGGGTCAGCGTGGACAATTCACATTGCAGGGCATTTATTAAAATCCAGTTAAGGATCACAGTGTCATATGCAACATTTACCCTGATAAGATTGTAAATGGGGGTAAAGCTAACATGACGTAGCTTTATGTCATAATATAGTTCCCTCAAGAAAACCTGGTTGTTTTGATTCTTTCATGCATGTTTAAGTAATCCTTGAATCTCCCGAGGAATCCATTCCTAAACGCTTGCTCTTTCTCATTCCACAAAGCTTCTCTTCGCAGCTGCGGCCTTTAAATCAGGTTTTTATTCCTTCCTCACTCAGCTCCTTATGGCAGCAGCAGCAATTAGAAAACAAGGTCATCATAGTACCTACATCTCAGTCCATTGCTCCTATGAACCGTGGTAAACTGCATAACGGAATAACATTATTGTGATGACTTGCTGAAGCCAAAGTGTCAGAAAAAACAGAAGCTTCTTAAAGAGACAGAGGCCCAATTTCACAGAGTCAAATTGCAAAGTCAAATTTATTGTAAAATATCTTTGAAATATACAGCATTTTTATGCCAACTGAAGGTAACATAGTTACCTGATTGCGCTACACAATGGCACTATGTGCCTGGAAAACACACAATAGGCCCCCCTTAAAACTACCTTCCTGTTTGGGACACATGGCACCATGGAGTGTCATTTCTTGCATGGTAGTAAGAAATGATACCCACCCCCCATCCCCTGGGAAACATTCGCGCCCAATTGTTTACACTGCAACAGGTGTAGACAGTTTTAATAAAGATGAACGCTAAAGCTCATGGTGACCAACGGATATCAAAATATCTCTTGACCTTGCAAACATGGATTACAGTTGATGTCTGTCACAGCAGGAGGCGACTGTGCCCAGAATGCCCTGCACGTCTATCTGGCCAGTAAGCCGGGCCACAGTTTCTGCCCCCCACTCAGCCCAGAGCGGCATGTATCCGTCTCTGGCGCGGATTATACCATACACACATGGTGGTGTGTGGGTGTCCGGAGAAGTGCTAGACAGTGATGTTTCAGGTTTCAAGGTTCAGCCGGAATTCTCCAGCAGTCCTGGTGCAAGAGAGTCTTATATTCCCTGGAGACACAGATGGACAGGAAGCGCTAAGGACCCCAGGTCCCAGATTGGTCATAAACACCTCATGTTTGTTCTCTTATTCCAGCTTTTGTCTTTTTGTATGTCTCCAAGGAGCTACTATGGTACCACCCTGTAGTCCATTACTGTAATTCCTCACAGGATCCTGACAGATATCTGGCACTTCCTATCATATGTCGATAGCAGGTCTGGTCCATTAATCGAACCAACTGCTTTACAAGACCCTTCAGGATAGTCTGGGTCAGGAACCCCACTCAGGAAGGAGCTGACTCCAAATTAATCCACTGACAATCCAGACACCATTGTTACATATAGTTCATAATGAAAAAAATCCTACTTCTGCTTGCATATTGATCTGTGAGAGGTGCTGACAATGCACAAACATCTGTACCACACTCAGACTTGTGTTTGCAGACTTCATCCTGGCCACCACACAATGAAAAAAAAAACTTTTTCACTAAAGAGTGACTCTCTGGATAACCAGGATTTTTCCCCTCTTGGGGGCCACTGGCACTAACCTAGCTGTTTTCTGTATTTCAGAATAATACGTCTTCTGTTGGACTTAATACAAAAAATACTTTATAAACACACATCTAGGATATATATCCATAACTCATTGGCATGATAATATTTGGAAAACAGAGTAGTGCTTTAAAAGACCCTGACCAACATGGCGGCGGCATTGCCCTGTTATTTAAAATGAGTCCCAGCAACCACCGCGCAGGCGCGAATAGAATCACGTGATTTATTTAAAGTGGGAGTGTAAAGATGGCAGCCAATGTCAGCAAATTAAACATGGCTCGATTAAGAAGTTCAGTGTTTTCAGTGTTCCAGTTAGATCTCCTCCGTGAATTACTCTGCGTCCTGGTGGCTTTTTGTGTTCTGACGCAGCAGTCGCTGGCAGACCAGCAGGAGTTTTCCGAGGACTTTCTGAAGCGGGAGTATTCTCTGGTGAAACCGTATCGAGGTAAGTTTACTGTCAGGCTGGCAGCGCTAGCGAGCACGGTGGCTGACAGCTTAAAACCGCTTCAAACTTATTAATAAGAACCAACAATAGTGCACATCCTCCCGACAACTCAGGGTTGAGCTCCTTTGTTAACTAGCTTGTCGACTCGCCATATTAGCTGCAGTGGATAATAATTAACTAAGAGGAACTTTGCTCTCCTAACTAAATGGCAGCGCTTGTTGAGGGCAGAGCTGGTATTAAATCTCGGCAGACGGAACCAAACGGAAACCAGTAAAGTCAGTGCAGTTTTCACATTCTCCACAGGCGGATGTAGTTTGATTTGGTTTAGGTTGAGCTCACTGATAGGTGCTTTGGATGCTTCATTTAAAGGGTGTTAACATTGGTCTTCAGTTTGAATATTTAATCAGTTGACTCCTTGTCGGAGTCAGCTAATTTCACATCGATTGGTTCTGATCGTCAAATACTGAAGATTTTTTTTCTATTCTCCAAAAGAAATGAAAACTGTACAATTCAATGTACTCTCACTACGTGATTACGTTCTGTCTTCATAATGAGGTCATCAGGTAACTGACCTGTAATATTCAGCCAAAAGGCCCTTTATTCTGCAGCTTGAAGTTAGGATGCTGGACTTGAGGCCCCCTGATTGTTGAAGCATTTGGAGTGCAGATGGCAGCTTTCAGACTTGCACATGATAACGCAAATATGTAAATGTATGAGTCAGAAGCACTTGTGATCGGGATCCATACAAGAGCTTGAAATCGTTGAAAATGCTTGAATTTCAATGAGGTGCTCTCAGTTTGGAAAGTGCTTGACATTCAGACTGCACAGTTTTGTAATAAAGTGCAATCTAACATATAATTAAATATATACATTTGGAAAGTGTTATTTACAGTTGAAGTAAGATATATAAGACACACTTTTTTTCTTGGTGTTTGAAGTGAAATCAGAACCAACTTCTGTTGTTTTAGCTCAGATAGAATGACCACAATTATTTTTATTTATAAATGACACAAAACGTGATTTTTTTTTTTTTTTTTTTTTTTTTTTAGGGATTTTTATTGTAACTTTCTTTGTGTTTAAGCATGAATTTCAACAGGAAGGTAATTTACCTTAACATGATTTGCTTGGATTGTTAAAATGTAACAAATATTCATTATTCCTAGTGGTTCAGTTACTGTGTTGATCTGTGTTAAAATTAAAGTTAACTTATGTTTTATTTTGTTATACATGTTATTGAAATTGTTTTTTTTTGTTGTTGTTGTTAAATTAGTGTTTTGTTCTCTTACCAGTCAGGTGTATAAGTGGTGTGTGTGAGACATTTTTGAAAACGCAAAACTTTGTTCTATTTTAGTTTACCTTTTTCCTGCCATAGTATGTATAATATTATCACATTATTAATAACAGAAATAAATTGTATCACATAACATTTCTTTTAGTTAATTTTAATTGTTTTTATCTCTAAGGTAACCTTTACTGTGGGAAAAGTGAAGGATGAACTCACTTGGGTTTAGTAAAAATCAGATATTTGTTATATTTGTTAGGGATGTGATAATATAAAGATAATGACCTTGGGACTGCCGTTCTCGTTCAAATATCCTACTGTACACACTTCTAAAAAATATTTGATATAATTATAATGCTTAAAAAAAATAAAAAAAAGAGTGAGAATTAAGGGTGCAGCTCCAGTTGAAAGGTGACCTGTCCTGTTTCTGCAGGACTGGGCTTCTCCAGCTCCTCCCAGTGGGATCTGATGGGAACGGCCATGGTGACCCCTGACCATGTGAGGCTGACCCCAGACCAGCAGAGCAGACAGGGAGCGGTGTGGAGCCGGATCGTAAGTCTGCAGCTGCATCACATGCTTCCATGTTACCCAACCACTTCCTGCTTCATTCTGTCACAGCTGCTCACAAACGATGCCACCACAATATGCTGCTACACATGTAGTTTCACTGTAGCAAACCTTCCCCAGTGTCGGTTTTGATGTGTACATTAGTGTCATGTTCTCCTCTGTTGCTCTTCATTTTTTGCGGTGCAGCCGTTCGTCTTGAGGGATTGGGAACTTAGAGTTCACTTTAAAATCCATGGCATCGGGAAGAAAAACCTAAACGGAGACGGACTTGCCATCTGGCTAACCAGAGATCGCATGCAGAACGGTAAGCTGGCAACAATGACACAGATAAGTACTGAAGACACTCCTTTGATTTCATGTTTTTATGCTCAGTACTTTGCAGACACAGTCAAAGCTGTAAGGCATCAAAAACTGACTGGATGAAGAAAATGTAATCCTAATGCAAAAATACTTTATTGATCCCAAAAGAAAATTAAATTAAAGGAAATTAAATGGATGAAGGCAGAGGAGCTCATTAGTCCTCCTGAATGCTACATCTATCCTACATCTATCCTACCTCTGCTGGATGTTTTTTCCTGTTAAAGGAGAGTTTTTCCTCTCTACTGTCGCCCCCTGCTGGTCCAGGAGCGGTGTATGCTGTGGGTCAATAACTTCATGCGATCTGCTGGGTTTCCTTGCATAGAAAAGTTTGAAACTACTTTGACTAATGAGTCTGCTGTAGCTGGGGTCATCTAGAATGTATATCTGTTTGAAGTAAAATGCTTTTTTTTTTTTTTTTTTTGCAAATTGCCTTAAGAGGACATTTATTCTGAATTGGCTCTATAGAAATAAACTGAACTGAATTGAATTTCTGTGTTCCTCCCTCACCACGCTCTCTGCTCCGCCTCAACGTCTCCAGGTCCTGTTTTCGGCAACATGAACCAGTTTGTTGGACTTGGAATATTTGTGGACACTTACCCAAACACAGATAAGACCCACGATGTGAGTAAAACCTCCCACATCTCTCTGAACCCTGTTCTCAGCCTGATGTTTTCAGTTTAAATGATCAAGTCAGAATAGTTGTTGTTGACAATAATTTCTTGTAGCTCTGGGATTCAGTGTTTTGTTAATTATAAATGGTTTATTACTCATTTAATTGGTTTCAGTTGTATCAGTTGGTAACAGTGGCAACAGCAGCCATCGAGGCTTTTTTTTTTTTTTACTTTCCTGTGGAGGCGTAATGTGAATTCACCCGCATGGGATGAGTTTCCAGCATGATGTCCTATTCAAAGTCCCACTCAGGTGGAATTGGTGCAGACTTTGGCTGATTTGGAGCCGTTCTGGTGCTCCTGCTGCAGAGCTCAAACTGGAACTGAAAGTCACAAACTCTGACATGCTGAAGTCACAGAGTGGTTGGGATGATGAGAATGAATTCTAAAAGAAAAAAAAGTGGATAATTCTGATCAGAAACACAACTTTGAACTCTAATATGATAATTAGACGTTTCCTTGTTTGTGGATCTCTGTTCAGTGCATCATCTGAAAACTGAACCAGCTGAGATGGAAACCGAAATGTAACCTTTGTGCTGGAGCTTCTGTGTTGGAAAACTAATGCTGCACATCAACTCAGTGTAAAACAGGGTGGTGGCAGTATCATTCTGTGGGGATGCTTTTCCTCAGACAAAACAGGAAATCTGCTCAGTAGGTCAGAAAATGGATCTAGGGAATACAACAGAACTCTGACAGCAAACCAGAAGTTGCTGAAGTCTTGACTTCACTTTCCACCAGGGAAACGCACTCATGTTAGAATGGCCTAGTCAAAGTCCAGTTGAGAAACTGTAAAAATACCTGAAGAAACTGTAGCTAGAGCAAAAGGTGTTTCTGCAGTGCTTTGATTGAGGGAGCTGAATACCAGAGCACTCCACACTTTTTAGATTTGTTAAAAAATAAAAATAAAATAAATAAGCCCACATGTCTTGTTTTTGTTCTGCTTCTCATTCTTTTTAAGACACTCTGATTCAGATGTGTTTTGCTGAACATGCAGACAGGTGTAGGCGGAGCTTAGTTAGCATGCTAACCTGCTGCAGCGTAACGTCTCCCCGTCTCTGCTGGGGCTCAGCGGCGCTCTCTGTGAGTGAGGCAGCTCCAGCAGAGACCGGAAGTGAGTCGGCGTCTCTGCAGGACTGGAAACTGACCTGCTGCTCAGACACAACCCAACAACATGGCTGCCATCGCTCCGGGGTCCTGCGGATGACCCTGGGTGAGACGAGCTCCTCTCTCAGGGAGATTTTAACTCCCGTTGGCTCCTCTGTTGCAGAGGACCTTTCCGTACGTCTCAGTGATGCTGGGAAACGGAACCCTGACGTACGACCACGACCGTGACGGGCGGACCACCGAGCTCGGAGGATGCACAGCCATGACGCGCAATTCCATTTATGACACCTTCCTGCTGGTCAGATACTCTAAAAACAAGTTGACGGTATGGCAACGGTTTTTTAATCTAGTGGAACTAGGGAGAAACTGCTCATCTGAACACCATGAAAGAGTTGATGCATGTTTAGAGCTGTTCTGTGGAAGGGGGGATTCAGCTACTAAGGTTAAGTCATATGAAATCTTACATAGGGGGTTTCAGAGTGCAGCCCAGGGGCCAGTTTTGGCCCGTGAAATGATTTCGAGTGGCCTTCCACTGCAGTTCCTGAGAAACTAACTTGACAACCTCATTTTTTGTCTTTAGCAGCTAAAGCATAACATGAATTCAGTGTTTCTAGGGTCTTGTTGCCCGTGACTTATTTTAACTTAAATTGTTTGGATGCCACCGATGTAAAACAAAATGACTTTGACTTTCCTCTGCTGTAAATCCATAAATAAACTCCTAGTGTATCAAACTGCTGATGTGTTCCTCTGTGTGTCTGCAGCTCATGGTGGATGTGGATGGGAAACAGGAATGGAGAGACTGTGCTGAAGTCAGTGGGCTGAGGCTTCCCAATGGATACTACCTGGGTGCCTCCTCTGCTACTGGAGATCTATCAGGTGTCCAGCATTCAAACAGTCTACAGCAGGTTGTCCAAAGTGCAGCCCAGACACACAAAATCGAAGTATTTTTGGTCTGGGTTCTAGTGCAAATATCTTAGTATACTTTGAAATAAGAAAAATCTAACTAGAAAGTAGCTTTACAGCAAGATATAGGAGCTAGTTTTATGTGAATACATCTTTAATACTGCTTACATAAAAGCAGTAGTTCTACTGGCAGATTTTTAAATTTTAATTATGACCTATGTAAATTTATTTGGAAATGTATTTCTAAATGCTATTGCTTGGAGGAAAGTATATCTATTGATATCCAGACAGAGATGTAGAAACACGCACTGAGAACACAACTTCTAAGATTTTTATCTTATTTAAAAATCTATATAAGACATTGCTATGTTCTATACTGTCACATGTAACATAAGGGTATATTGAAGAATAGCATAATGAAGTGGGAATTAAAAAAAAACTGTAAAGTTCTCACTCCTTTTCAGACAAGTACGGTAGATAAATCTTATGTTGCAAAACATAAGATTACAAGAATACATATACACATGTATATGCATTTTTTTTTTTGTTCAAAATAGATGAAGTAAAGAAATCTCGCTAAGTCTCATATTCTAATGTTGCCCACCGGCTTGTCGCACAGATAACCATGACATCATCTCAATGAAAGTGTACCAGCTGACTGTAGAGAGGACTCCAGAGGAAGAGGAGGAGGAAGAGGCGATCACCGTCCCTCGGGTGGACAACATGTACCAGTTTCAAGGTAGAAACATTTCTATCGCGTGGCTGAAAATGGTCCTTCAAAGCTGAGGCTTCATGGTAGTTTCCTGTTGGGCTTCCCAGTGGACGTGGAGGAGGAGGGGATGAGTGGGCTGCAGCTGTTCTTCACCCTGCTGTTCTCCATCCTGGGCCTGTCCGTGCTGGCCGTGGTGGGCATGGTGCTCTACGGCCGCTGGAAGGAAAACAAGCGCAAACGCTTCTACTGAGAGAGGTGCTGCTTCTCAGAACACAGGTCCTCGGTGCACATTAGATCAACTGGAGACCGCTGTGCTGTGACTGGAACTCAGACCGATGGCCTTCTGGGTCGAATGTGGAGAGAACATGAGCGGGATGGACAGATAAATCAGGTGGATAGTGTTTTTATATATTTTTTTTTAAGTTCTCTGGAGGATGTGGAGATCTCAGCAGGTTATCTGCTGAGTGAGGATCTGTCCTCACCAACAGGAGGCAACAAAAGAATCAAGTTTCTGGAATCAAATTGCTGCGTGGACTTCACTGACATCATGATAACAGGAGTTTCCCCACCTCTGGGGGATGCTTTTCAGTCACTTCACAGGTTGCACCTGTAAACAAAGTAAAGAAATAAAACTCCTGCATTATAACAGAAGAAATTTGGGAAGCTGCTCCAGTTGCAGTCCTGTTAAAGTAGGTATTGTCTACCTGCAGCTGTTGTCACTGTTATTTAGTGTCTGAAACTCCTGAAACTCCAAGTGAAGACTAATCTAACAGCACCAACAGCAGAGCAGACTTTTACAGTCTTAAAAGAACAATATAACAATAACATCTGGGTTTATCTAAATGGACGCCAACAAATGTTTACCTACTGCCTGCGTTTTTAATCAGGTAGCATCTTTACATCCTCTGTTCTCACTGCCAACAGGAAACTCATTGGTGAAGCCAGGTCATGAAAAAAATCTGAACTATCCCTTTAAGTTCCTTTGTTCTGTTATGAGTGTAAATGTAGCTCCAGTTTTTATATCTGTGACATCACAAATCTAATTGTCCAATCATGGACAGATCCAAACAATTTGGTAAGCAATTGCTGTCCTTTGATTGGACAACTAGATGTGGCAGTAAGTCCAGGCTGACCAATCAGTTTGAGGTGTGAAAACATCAGAAGTATTCAGAGCGCAGGAGTTAAAAAAAAAAAAAAAAAAGGTTTTTAGAGATTCACTAAAGTTTTTCTGTTTACTACAGAAATTCCTCAGGGACATGAAGGGATTTCTTTTTCTTTTATGATGCCTAGCAAAAGTATTAGTTTCCCTCACAAATTTTTTGTGTTCTCTCGCAATAATGTACGAATCATTTCATGTTGAATCTTGAATACCGAAAGTTTTTCTACTACAATATAAGGGTTTTGTAAGGTTCTTTGATGTATGTCAATATCTCGTTGAGATATCTCAACTTTTAAACCTTTCTTTAGGATACACATGAACATGGGCTTTCATTCAAAACAGAAACTTTCCTTAAGAAAAACTACATGCAAAGTATTTGAACTATTTTTGAGTTATTTTCATGGGGTAATGAAGTCCTCTGACATTGTGTGTTGGTAGTGTGGTTAATAAAGGGCCGTTTTCATGTCCTATCTCAAACACAACCAGTATCTGCACCAATGAGTTAAGACTGTAGAAACAGGTTTTCACTGAGGCTCTTTTAAAATGCATATATGTGCAATTTTAAATTGACATTTGTTATACCATATTTTCCAGACAATAGAGCGCACCTTACTATAAGCTGCACCTTCAAATTTTTTTGATACCAGCGGCTTGTAGCACTGGGCTACATTTTTGTACGGCTTGTAGCACTGGGCTACAAGCCGCTGGTATCTCCGCTAATCTCGGTTTTTCACAAGGACACAGCAGAGGGCTGCGTTCTTAATAAATCTACTATTAAGGACGCAGCCCTGCGTCTCCAACGCCGAACCATGGATTCGTTCATGTCGAGCTTACAGGCAGCAGCTCCATTTCCCTCCTGTACTGCCAGATCGATGGCCCTCAACTTAAAAGTGGCATCTTTTTCTTTGTGTGGTTTCCATGATGAGAGGGTATGAGTTTGAAGAAATTTCTCCATCTTGTCTGCTGCTAGCATGTGCTTGTTCTAAATGAAAATTAGCTCTTTCTTTCTTTATGTCCAATTTTTACTTCTAATGATTAATTTCCTGTTGAAGAGCCCCGTGGCGGTTGACAAAAAATCCACAGAAATGCTGCACCGGGCGATAAGCCGCATGGTTCAAAGCGTGGGAGAAAGGTAGCGGCTTATAGTCCGAAAAATACAGTAATTATGATTGGATACAAATTAGACCAGGGTGTATTTGCTAATTTATTGTGAGGGAATGCAATATCTTTTTGACTTAACACACTGGACAAAATGTCCCCTAGCAGGCTCCATAGTTTTCTCTTTAGTTCAGATATTTTTTGTCTTTGCAGATTTCAACTCTTTTCTACACAGGCATCATATTCAGGAACCGACTGATTTTCCAGCTGCTGTCTATGAAAAAATTGATGTACAAGCTAGTGATCTTATTGCTGCTAAGTAATGGGACTGATAAAAAAAAAGAACATACTTTTCACTGGTTCCCTGTGATGCACTGAAGCAGACACATCCACAGACAGGAATGGGTCCCATCAGGTCACTGTTTGAGATTATCCACTCTAGTTTCCTCCAGTCCACTTCCACTTCTTTTGCTAATCCGACCAAATCAGCATTCTTCGTTTCAACCTGCAGAACGTAGCAGCCCATTTAACTTTTACCTCCACTTTAATCTAAACTGTAGCTGCTATGACAAACAGCCAAGCTGTGGATTGTTGCTGGAGTCTCGTTGAAGTGCCTCATTAGGACCAGTAAAGACAGTCCTGTCCTTCTGTAGCTTTAACATGTTGTTTCTAGATATGGCAGGGGTGTCCAAACTGTGGCCTGGGGATCATTTGCTGTTTCTAAATGATACAAATTTGACTTTTCTTTTTTTTTTATTAGAAAAAACTAATTGAAAAGGAAAAAGCAATTAATGTATCCTACATTTTTAATTGACCCACAGATAAAAAAAAATTAAGACATCCCACAAAATATTATTCTTTGCCTATCCAAGCTTTCTGGACCACATCTACCCACTGACTGGGACACTAAAGCAG